ACTCTCTATGCTGTGTAGCTGCTCCCCTGCATATCAGTGAGTAGTGAGAGGCAGGGAGGGATATGCTGTAACTTCCTATCCCTGCCTCTGTCCATACACAGTGACCCCTACTGGCCGGTCCTGGTATTGCAGAGTAATCTCCATTTATACTGAGAGAAATATTTGCATTTGTATTGCCGGTATTACTGCAATACCATCACAGCCAGGCAGCCTCAAATACCGGCTGTGCCTTAAAATACCAGTCAGGTGGCAAACCTAAGAGTAGTGTGTAAAAAAAATATATACTTTTTTTGTTTTGTTTTGTTTTTTTGGGCCTATTCCATGGGTCTGGGCCTGGAGCTGCAGCTCCATCAGCCCCTATGTTAATCCAGCACTGACCAGTGCATTGGGATCAGCGGACATGCTGCTATAGGGATGTGCTGTTGGGATATAATTTTTTTGTGGGTCTGCTATTCGGGATCGGAGGATCTTAACCAATGCTACTTGTGGTGATAAATCATATTACAATCTCTGTCAAATAATGACATACATATTGGCATTGTCACCATATGTGTGGGGCATGGTGTCCTCTTCTCAAAATCCTTGCCAACATTTATCAGAAGAATCCAGATACAGTATTGCTATACACAAAAGAACTGTATACTAACTGTAGGGAATTTTTGCACAGCTCAGTAACCGGTTGCTGCATATAGTTGTACCCCTCAATACTTCACAAGCTTCCAACCATAAATTAAGTGCAAAGGAAACCCCCATATATCCATGAAGGTTTGTCAGCAAGAGGGTATGATAACTCTTAGACAGGAGACCTTTTTCCTGTAGGAGTCTTATCATGGAATTTTTCAAAGCTTGAATATAATACTGTAATTGAAAATGAGGGAAATATTGATTCTTGGTTAAACTATGTTTCGCTCACAGATCCTTAAAGGAACACTGTAGACACCCAGACCACTTTATCTCAATGAAGTGGTAAGGCGTTTCCTCTCATTTCACGAGTTTAACTATTTCACTGAGTTCAATGCTTTCCTATGGGTAAGGTCTAATGTTTGACGTGCTAGCAGTGCATTAGGTTCCCCCTCGCGCTGACATCAGAGGAGGTGGAGCCAGTGCCGAGGGACCTTGGTGCTGGAAACAGGTAATTAGATAAATTATAATTAAACTAACTAAATGACCTGTTCAGGAAAGAATAAGCCTAGAGCGTTGCACTCCATCTACACCTTTCCTCTAGACTAGACATTTCAAGACAGGCATCAACGCCTACAGAGACCATGTGGTTACTATTCAATTCGGTGTGCTGGCGCTGCATATTTATTGATACTGAGGACATTGTGATGATCATTGCTTGGCTTTATTCCTGCCTACACCAGCACCATTCATGTTTTATTACACTCTCTGGAGCAATTTCGGCATCTGCAGCACATTCTATCCAGAAATACTAGGAGGGCCTTTTGTCCAATTAAGCTGGTCCACAGAGGAATTTACCTCGATAATAGGATTTGACATTTAGCCAGGAAGTAGACTCTCTAATCTAGTGTGCTGCTGTGTGTTTATCGCTGCTTACTCACTCACAGCACACTCATCTGTCTACATGGCCCTCACAGCTATTCACACACAGCACACACAGCAATACTATTCACTATCCACATACATCACTCACAGATACTCACACATTACGCACTGCCACACACACCACTGAAAGCTACTAAATCATATCACGCCTTCACATAGCTACTCACACACAACCACACGGATGACACACAGACAGATTCAACACTTACAGCTACCCCAAACCTACACAAAACAAACTAACCTCTCGCCTCAGCCTTCTAAAAAATATTCCTGGATGCACACCCTATTGAAATGTGCTGAGCACGCCTATGCTCCTCTGGCTATGAATAGCCTCCATAGAAAAAAAGGTTTAGTTTTCAAAGCACAATGTGGTTACTTGAGAATTTCTTATCTCCTGCTCAGTTACCTTTAATCACATACAGGAGGCTGTTGTAGTATGAAACAAGCAATTGATAGAGCAGAAGATAATAACTTATAATTTAATCACAACGTGCTATAAGGGAATCTTAAAACTTGGGGGTCTCTTTACAGGACGTGTGCAAGGAGGCCGTGTGAGTGACAGCCAAGGGAGGTGTGACTAGAGCTGCATAAACAAAGTGATTTAACTCCTAAATAGCAGAGAATTGAGCTGTGCAACATTAGGGGCATGATCTATACACCAAAACTGCTTCATTAAAGGACCACTATAGTGCCAGGAAAACAAACAAATAGTGTTAATAGGTCCTCCCCACCCTCGTGGCCCCCTCCTGCCAGGTTCAAGAGGGGTTAAAGGGACACTATAGTCACCAGAACAACTACAGCTTATTGAATTTGTTCTGGTGTGTAGAATCATTACCTTCAGGCTTTTTGCTGTAAATACTGTATTTTCAGAGAAAATGCAGTTGTTTATATTACAGCCTAGTGATAACTTCACTGGCCACTCCTTAGATGGCTGTTAGAGATCCTTCCTGGGTCATGGCTGCCTAAAATGCATCCAAACATTCAGTATCTCCTCCCTCTGCATGCAGACACTGAACTTTCCTCATAGAGATTCATTGATTCAATTCATCTCTATGAGGAGATGCTGATTGGCCAGGGCTGTGTTTGAATCATGCTTGCTCTGCCCCTTGTGTTACTGACCCTATAGTGATCCTTTAAGGGGTTAAATACTTACCTTTCTCCAGCGCCAGGCTCCCTCGGCTCTGGGGACTCTCCTCCCTCTTCCGACGTCATCTGCTGAATGCGCATGTGCGGCAAGAGCTGCGCTCGCATTCAATCAGTCCATAGGAAAGCATTTCTCAATGCTTTCCTATGGACGGCAGCGTCTTCTCACTGTGAAAATCACAGTGAGAAGCGCCTCTAGCGGCTGTCAATGAGACAGCCACCAGAGGCTGGATTAACCCTAATGTAAACAAAGCAGTTTCTCTGAAACTGCTATGTTTACAGCTGCAGGGTTAACCCTAGATGGACCTGACACCCAGACCACTTCATTGAGCTGAAGTGGTCTGGGTGCCTATAGTGGTCTTTTAAGCTACAGTTGTTTTATGTCTTATAAATTTAGAGTACAATATTTAAGTTTGGAAAAACAGCAAGTTTAAAATATTGCTTCATAAATTAACCCTTATATCATTTTTTTGCTGAACTCAAAATACACATCCTCAGTATTTTATTGTGGTTTGGGAGGAAATGTCCCTCAAATTGTCCTCCAGTAACTGGCAGCCCAGATGCTGGCTCAATACTAGTAAAAAAAAAACAAAACACAAACACCCTGGGGTAAAAATTACTTTATGCAACATAAACAGGAGACGTTATTTCCTCATACCTGAGGCTGTACATTGGAGAGGCTAACATTTACTTTGTACAATGTACTTTGCATAATATGATGGCTATCCGTTAGCAACAAGGAAACAGAACATTGTGATTTTATCATGAACCCTAATATCCAATATTTATAATATTTGATGCCATTATCACAATATAATTGTGTCCTTGCTGAGGCGATATCTTCTGTTCTCAGGAGACCATTGAATAGACAGGAGGATTTTAGAAACAGAAAATGAATTGTTCATGTTGAAATCACAACAGAGAAATAAATTCTGGAGGTTGGTTCCTGGGTAAATGTTAAATTAGCAACAATTATGCCCTGATCTTCTTGAATAAAATATAATACAGGATTTGAAGTTCTTGAGAATTTTCAGACTGCAGCAGAACATAGGTATAATGATACCTGTTGGGCTACTTATCCTTTTAATGAGGGCAAATGCAGGTTTCTGAGTCAAGGTTCTTCTTCCTGAAAATATGTCTGAAGGGTATCAATAGGGGGGCGTAGATAGCATTACAAAATGAAGAACAGATGAACAGTGACATCTGTAGATGAAACAGATATCACTAAGCAGAGCACCGAGCACAGTTGATTACAAGAACATCATTAGATACATATAGAATTCATGTGATGTTTATTACCCTAATATGTACAGGTGATACTCGAATAATTAGAATATCGTGAAACATTTCATTTATTTCAGTAATGCAACGTAAAAGGGGAAACTAATATATGAGATAGATGCATTAAATGCAAAGCAAGATAGTTCAAGCTGTGATTTGTCATAAGTGCGATGATTATGGCTTACAGCTCATGAAAACCCCAAATCCACAATGTCAGTAAATTAGAATATTACATGCAATCAATAAAACAAGGAGTGTACATAGAACAATATCGGACCTCTGAAAAGTATAAGCATGCATATGGACTCATTACTTGGTTTGGGCCCCTTTTGCAGCAATCACTGCCTCAATGCGGCGTGGCATGGAAGCTATCAGCCTGTGGCACTGCTGAGGTGTTATGGAAGACCAGGATGCTTCAATAGCGGCCTTCAGCTCCTCTGCATTGTTCGGTCTCATATATCTCATCTTTCTCTTGGCAATGCCCCATAGATTCTATATGGGGTTCAGGTCAGGCAAGTTTGCTGGCCAATCAAGCACAGTAATCCCACAGTCATTAAACCAGGCTTTGGTGCTTTTGGCAGTGTGGGCAGGTGCCAAGTCCTGCTGGAAAATTAAGTAAGCATCCCCATAAAGCTCGTCTGCAGAAGGAAGCATGAAGTGTTCCAAAATCTCCTGGTAGATGGCTGCGTTGACCCTGGACTTAATGAAGCACAGTGGACCAACACCAGCAGAAGACATGGCTCCCCAAATCAACACAGACTGTGGAAACTTCACACTGGACTTCAAGCATCTTGCCGTGTGTGCCTCTCCATTCTTCCTCCAGACTCTGGGTCCTTTGTTTCCAAATGAGATGCAAAAGTTGCTCTCATCAGAAAAGAGGACTTTGAACCACTGAGCAACATAGCAGGTCTGTTTTTCTTTAGCCCAGGTAAGACGTTTCTGATGTTGTTTGTTGTTCAGGAGCGGCTTGACAAGAGGAATACGACATCTGAAGCACATGTCCAGGATCCGTCTGTGTGTGGTGGCTCTTGATGCACTGACTCCAGCCTCAGTCCACTCCTTGTGAAAGTCCCCAACACATTTGAATGGCCTTTTCCTGACAATCCTCTCCATGTTGCGGTCATCCCTGCTGCTTGTGCACCTTTTTCTTCCACACTTTTCCCTTCCACATAACTTTCTATTAATGTGCTTTGATACAGCACTTTGGGAACATCCAGCTTCCTTCACAATTACCTTTTGAGGCTTTCCCTCCTTATGGAGGGTGTCAATGATCGTTTTCTGCACAACTGTCAGGTCAGCAGTCTTCCGCATGATTGTGATTCCTACTGAACCAGACTGAGAGACCATTTAAAGGCTCAGAAACCCTTTGCAGCTTACTTAGCTGATTAGAGTGGGACTGTCACATCCTGTTCCTAGCTGCGGATCATTCTGGCTATGGCTTCTGGTATCCAGTACTCTTTTTACAATTCTTGTTTTGTTTTCCTTGGTTTCTCTGGTTTTCTATTCCATGTCTGGTTTTCTTTATGCTGGGTTTTCTGGGTTCATTCCTTTATTCCATTCCTGGAATTTCCAGTCTCTTGGATTCCTTTAAATGTTTGTTTTATGTTGCCACACCTTTTCCTTTTCCATGATTCCTTTTGTTTCAGTTGGTCCCTGCAGGCACTTGCTCAAGTCCTCTGCCCTTTCTTGCAGGTAAGTGCTGTATGTGTTTTATTATGGTTCATTTGGCAGACATTAGGCAGTTAGAGTAGTGTCAGGATAACAGCATGATCCAGCACGTAGAATTGTGTAACACAGAGGACAGATAGATAACGTATACCGGACCTTATAATGGCCGGACTAACATACCAAAGAATAGTCAGGAATAGTCGAGGTCAAGGGAAACAGAAAGAGACACAACGATAAGGAAAAGCCAGGAGTCAGGGATTCCAGAAAACAGGGAAGTCAAAAACAATGCCAAAGTCAAATAACCAGAATTACCAGAATCAAAAACACGCTCTCGGACAACCACAAGGGAAACCACGACAGGGCACTGCGCAGGACGAGAACTGAGCCTAAATACCACTCCTCTGGATCTGATAGGCTGTAACCAGCCTTTGACCCCAAAGCAGGTACCAGGTTCCCATTTGCATAATTGCTGCTCAGCATTAACCCTTCTGTGGATTTAGTTGCTGCTTGGCACAACTTTTCCTGTGTGGACAGTAAATGTCATTAACCACATTTTTTAAACGAATGAATACGTGACATTACCCCCCACCTGAAGAACGCCCACCAGGTGGGCAAGACCAGACTTGAGAGGAAATTTGGCGTGAAAATAGCGAATCTTGCGGCCAGCATGTATATCAGATGCCGGAACCCAATAACAATCGGCTGGTCCATAACCTTTCCAATCCACCAAGTACTGTAAAGTGCCCCGAGAAAACCTGGAATCAATTATGGAGGAGCCCTCATACTCGTCCTGTCCAGAAACAACAAAAGGGAGGAGGAGGGACACTTGAGACAGTATATTTATTGCAAACAAGAGGTTTGAGCAAGGACACATGAAAGGTATTAGGAATTTTCAAGGAGGCCGGAAGGGCCAGAGAGTACACAACAGGATTGATCCTACGAAGGACACGAAAAGGTCCAAAGAACCTAGGAGCAAATTTCATTCTAGGGACTTTGATCCTGATGTTACGAGAAGATAACCAAACCCTCTCACCCACTTGGTAAACAGGGTTGGCACCTCGACGTGTATCAGCAGCAGTACCCAGAGCAGATTGAACTTTAACCCAGGTATCACGGATGGAAGCCAGAAGGTCATCTAAAGCAGGAATATCCATATCAGAAAAAACAGCCGGTAGGATAGTAGGATGCCGGCCATTATTAGCAAAAAATGGACTATGCCCAGAGGAGTCATGGTCAGCATTGTTCCTGGCAAACTCGGCCCATGGTAATAATTCAGACCAATTGTCTTGAGTGCTATTAATGAAACAACGCAAGTATAACTCCAAAGACTGGTTAGCCCTCTCAGCTGTACCATTAGTCTGGGGGGTGGTAAGAGGATGAAAAAGACAATTCAATCCCCAATTGCTTATTGAAAGCCCTTCAAAAACCGGGATATAAACTGAGAACTTCTATCAGATACAATATTGTGAGGAATGCCATGCAGACGGACAATCTCACGTATAAAGATCAGTACCAGGTCTTGAGATGACGGTAATTTCTTGAGAGGGATGAAGTGAGCCATTTTAGAAAAATGATCAACAACCATGAGAATAGTGGTATAACCATTAGAACTAGGAAGTTCTACAATGAAATCCATAGACAAGTGGGACCATGGGACAACAGGAACAGAAGAGGTTGTAACAAGCCACAAGGGCGTTTATGAGGTACTTTGGAAACCGCACAAACAGAACAAGCCTGCACATACTCCTTAACATCCTTCCTGAGGGAATCCCACCAGAATGACCTCATGATAGCAGAAGTGGATTTATTAATACCTGGGTGACCAGCAGACACATTCTCGTGAAACACCTTCATGATATTAACCCTTTCCCCCAATGGAACGAACAATTTGTCCTGAGGTTTACCGCAGGGCTCCTGAGACTGAGCCTCCATGATGTAGCCAACCAGCGGAGAGGACAATGAAAGGATAGTGGAAGCAATGATGCATTCCGGGGGAATGATATGGGACTTTTCTTGCTCTTGTATAGACTCAGTATCAAACTGTCTGGATAAGGCGTTAGCCTTGACATTTTTAGAAACAGGTCTATAAGTAATAAGAAAATTAAAGTGAGAAAGGAACAGAGACCACCTAGCTTGTCTAGAAGACAATGTTTAGCATCTCCTATGTAAGCCAGGTTTTTGTGATCAGTAATGATCAAAAGGGGGTCCTTAGAACCCTCTACAAGATGTCGCCACTGAGAGCTAGAATAATGGCCAACAATTCCCTATTGCCAATATCATAATTGCGCTTAGCAGGAGACAACTTTCTAGAGAAGTAACCACAAGGATGCAATGGAGTATCCAAGCTCTCCCTTTGGGAGAGAACTGCCCCTACCCCTGTCTCTGATGCATCAACTTCCAGTATGAAAGGTGTCAGGATGTATCAATATGTTGGCGGAGGCAAATCTCTGTTTGAGAGTTTCAAAGGCTTCTATAGCCTCCTTAGACCATATCCTACTGCTAACCCCCTTGCGTGTCATATTGGTGATGGCGGGCTATTACTGAAGAAAATCCCTTTATAAACCTTCTGTAATAATTGGAAAAACCAATGAACCTTTGAATGGCTTTCAACCCAGTGGGTAAAGGCTATTGTAGAACCAATTCCAGTTTTTTAGGATCCATCTGAAACCCTGAGGCAGAGATATTATATCCCAAAAACTGTATTTCAGATTGGTCAAAGATGCATTTTTCTAATTTACAATAAAGCTGATTCTTTAACAAGTTCTGCAGAACTTGTCTAACATGATCGTGGTGAGTCTGAATGTCAGGAGAATAAATAAGGATATCATCCAGATAGACCAAGACAAACGACTAAATGTAATCCCTGAGTGCATCATTTATGAAATCTTGGAAAACTGCTGGAGCATTGCACAACCCGAATGGCATCACTAGATATTCATAGTGTCCACTTCTAGTACTAAATTGTAAGCACTTCTAAGATCAAGCTTAGTAAATACTTTAGCGCCTTGGAGTCTATCAAATAATTCAGCAATAAGAGGAATGGGGTAGGCATTGTTAATGGTGATTTTGTTCAATGCCCTGTAATCGATACATGGGCGCAACTCACCGTCCTTTTTAGATACAAAAAAGAATCCTGCCCCAGCAGGTGAGGATGATTTTCGTATGTGGCCTTTATTCAATGAATCCTTAATATATTCCTCTATTACTCTACTCTCCTGAGGTGACAGAGCATAGACTGCTCCCTTAGGTGGCATAGCACCAGGTAGTAAATTAATGGAACAGTCATAAGGTCTGTGAGTAAGTAGAGTATTCGACTGAGTTTTGCTGAATACTTCTTTAATGTCTTGGTACTGTATAGGGATTTCCGGGTTTTGAGGTGTACTAGTGGGTAATGAAATAGTGCCCACTCTTTTGGCAACATTCAATATACACCTTTCATAACAATCCTTACCCCATTCTAATATTTCCCCATTAGCCCAGTCAATATGAGGGTTATGCTTGTTAAGCCATGGAAAGGCTAATATGATCGGACAGGAAGGGGATGCAATAACCTGAAATGTCATCTCTTCCTCATGTAAGGCACCAATGGACAAATTAATGGGTAAGGTTTCGTGTGTAATCAATGGTTGTGAGAGTGGTCTCCCATCAATAGCTTCAACAGCTAGGGGTGATAGTCTCTCCTTGATAGGTATAGTATTACCTTTAACAAATTGAACGTTGATGAAGTTTCCAGCGGCACCTGAATCCATCAGGGCTTTGCATGAAAAGTTCTTCTTTTCAAAGGCAATATAAATATCAAGGAGAAACCTATTTTTATCCATTCCAGAGGACGTTTCCATTACACCTAAGACTTGTCCCCTTAAGGTGCGGTAGTTTTCCGGATGTATGGGAAAATTGTTTCTCATATGTCCTTTTCTACCGCAGTATAGACATAGGCCTTCTTTTCTCCTATATTGTCTTTCTGCTTCCGACAGTCTAGTGACCTCCAACTGCATGGGTTTGGGTTCATACTGTACAGGAAATTCAGGGACAATAGGTATGGGGAAGTGGGGTGCTAAGGCGTATTCATGTGTCTGGTCTTGTTTCTAGTAGCTTCTCTGTTTCTCAATCTATTATCAATTTGCATGACAAAAGTGATAAATTCATTAAGCTTTTTGAGTAAATCTTTGGCGGCAATCTCATCTAGCATAGTTTCAGATAGTCCCTTTTTAAATGCAGAGATTAACCCACTATTAGTCCAGTCTACCTCGGAAGCTAGGGTACGAAATTCTATGGCATACTCCGAGATAGACAGATTCCCTTGTCTGATATGCATCAGGGCAGTAGAGGTGTCTTCCTCCCTGCCTAATGGTTCAAACATAAGTTTAAATTCTATAATAGACTCATGGTATTTGTGTGCCACACTCCTATTACTCTCCCATAATGGATTGGCCCAAGCTAAAGCTTTACCTTTTAATTGATTCATCAGGTAACCAATTTTAGCTCTGTCTGTGGGAAAAGATCCCGGTGAGGCCTCAAAATGATACTCTATTTGGTTAAGATAGAGAGATAGTTGGTGCCTTGTATACTATAGGCGGAGGTACACAAGGCGGAGGTGAGACAGTAGCAGATGCGCTGTACGAGTAAGAAGCGTACTGAAAGCCCGGGCAAATTGATCCAAGCGGTGATCATT